AAACCCTAGACCCTAAACCCTCGAAACCTCCCTTCTTGGGCGACCGGGCGACGCTGCGAGGCTGGTGCAGGCTGGGCCCCAGCTCGGCCCAAAGAGGCGGGGATGCTAAGTCATACTGGCGCTCTGAAAAGGAGATGGCCACGGTTTAGGGTTTCGGGATTTAGGGTTTAGGGTTTAGGGTTTAGGGTTTAGGGTTTAGGGTTTAGGGTTGTGGGTTTAAGGAAAAAAACCAGGGCAGACACGGTTTAGGGTTTAGGGGTTAAAAAGCCTGATAATGAAGCCCAATAAGGTAGGGATATCCCTATAAAATGCTTATGCTTATGTCCTTTTTGGGTTCCTAAAAGTCATACTGGCGCTCTCTGAAGGAGATGGCCACGGCTTAGGATTTAGGGTTTAGGGTTTAGGGATGTGGATTTAGGGTTGCTAAGTCATACTGGCGCTTTTTGCAGGAGATGGCCACGGTTTAGGGTTTAGGGTTTAAGGTTTAGGGTTTAGGGATGTGGGTTTAGGGTTGCTAAGTCATACTGGCGCTCTTTGAAGGAGATGGCCACGGTTTAGGGTTTCGGGATTTAGGGTTTAGGGTTTAGGGTTTAGGGTTTAGGGTTTAGGGTTGTGGGTTTAAGGTTTAGGGTTTAGAGTTTAGGGTTTAGGGTTGTGGGTTTAAGGTTTAGGGTTTAGGGTCGCAAACAAAAGCAAAAAAAACATGAGAATTAATGGTAATAGACGTTATCATCATCATACTCATAATCACAATGGCCATCATAATCAAAACAATGTTTTTGAGCAGCGGCACAAGCATAACCACAAGGAGCAGTGCACGTTTAGGGTTTAGGGTTCGACAACTTGCGGATATGGAGTTCGGGGAAATGGGATGTGAGGTTTAGGGGTTTAGGGTTTGCGACAGAGGAGTTTTAGCAAAAACGCTATCATGGATGCTACATTAGGAGCTACGTTGTAGCATCCTTCTTGTAATTGGGCGGTCCAAATTTGAATAGCTCATCCTGTTTCGGTAATGCAGACAAGTCCTTCATCCTGCGAAAGTGTACTTGAGATGCATGACCACACCCCAATCCCTGAACCCTAAATCCTACGCCAGGCCACCCATGAGCTTCTTCCCACAACGGCAACAACTGCTCAAAAGCCCATTTCACCTAGGGACCCAGACCCTAAGGGCAGACATAAGATCTTCGTGTGGTTCGACGAGGTCGGCTTTTGCAAATCCTCAGAGCACTGAGCCTCTTTTCACGTGCCTCTGCGCCCACGCAGAAAGGCGAGGCGGGCCAGAACTCGAGGCAGACCAGTCCTCAGAGTGCGACCTGTGCCTGCTACGAGACGGTCGAAGACTGCCAGAAGCGCTCCCCAGAGTTGCACCGCTCGATAGAGAAGCACAAGAGCAAGCGTGACCCGCGCACTCTTTGCAACGACGGAAGCCACGTCTGCGACGGCAGCACGTAGAGTCGCAAAGTCAATCCGACTCAATGTGTCCCCACGTCCAAGAAGTTCCACATTGGCGGACATGCTCGAACTCGAAGCAGACCCCCTCAAGTCCTGTCTGTCGGAGTGTGCCCTTGTCTCCTTCTCTGACTTCTGAACCCCTCCTAAAAGTTAAACTTTTAGCCTACTTATTATAGTTCATATATAAACCCCAAAAGTTAAAGTCCTAAGAGCCAACCAGACGAACACCAAGCCTATATTGCCTGTATGAGACAGCAGGACCTTTAAAGCTCCGGAGGAACCTCACCCGTCCTTCGTCCGCTTCTGTAGGCGATAGCGGAAGTCCTTGCAGCAACTGCTTAGGGTTCAGGGTTCAGGGGCCTAGGGCCTGAAAAACGAGGAGTTTTGAGGGGTCGTAGACTACAAGTGCGCTAAAGAACCCGCATGGAGTTCAATAATTTAATGACTGACCAGTCGGGCCCTATCTTACCGTTTCGCCGCTCCCAAAAAGGAGAGCTCAGACGGAAAAGCAGAGCAGCGAGGACAGAAGCCAAGAAAAACCGACCAATACCAACAGCAACGAGGGTTTAGGGCTTAGGGTTTAGGGTTTGGGATTTAGGGTTTAGGGCTTAGGGTTTAGGGTTTGGGATTTAGGGTTTAGGGTTGAGGGTTTAGGGGTTTCGACACGACCACCGTGGTCACCACCACTGCCTCAATGGAAGGCCTACCAAGATCCCGACTCAAGGATCTCCGAACCCACCACTTAAACCCTGAACCCCATATCATGCAATAGACTACCATGTAAATATCTATATATATATATGTACATATATACATATATATATATATATATATATGTATACATATTTATATATATATATATACATATACACATCTACATATATATATATATATATATATGTATATATCCATATATGGTGTGATGTGATCTTCTCCTAGCCCGAAGAACCTGAAGCCTGGTTTCAGAACATCGTTGCTGCCATGGGGCGTTGAAGCTGGGCCTTGCCTCACCCAGCCAGCCAGCCTCGCAGGTCCCACGGGTTTTAGGGTTTTCAGTACAAAGCATGGAGTTTCCATGGAAAAGGAACACCCCTTTCGGGGTTTAGGGTTTAGGGTTTAGGGTTTGGGGTTTAGGATTGAGGGTTTAGGGTTTAGGGTTTTTAGTAGACCTTAGGGTTTCGGGTGTGTATACAGTGAGCGCGCGGTGGGTGCGCTTAAGAAGAGGGCGCACCCCACTTGTAGTCCCGCCCCAACCACCCCAA